GTAAGCAACAAGGATTGTACAGCATACAGAATCATCAAATTTAAACAGTATCCTTAAACCAAATCAGTAGAGGCCTCTACTAGTTTGGCTGCTGCTAATACTATCCTTAGATAGGATTTTGCCACTGAGTTAAGGGGAAGATTGTAGTGAGCAGTTGGACCCTGATGATACCTCCAGTCTTCTTTTAGAGTATTTTGCTCAGATACAAAGAGATAGAAAGCTGTATGACAATTTGGAATGCCCCAGTTGGGGGCGTGGAGTGGGGAGAGGGGGACTGTTGAAGAATTATTTTTAAATTACAAAATTCTTGTTCATGTTTTAGTTCCTAAGGGAAAGGTTCCATTATTGAGGACTTAAATTATATGGACATGTGTCCATTTCAGGTATGTTTGGAACCCAGTATCTGTAGTAGCCAGTTAAAACTAGACAACTTCTTAATTTTCTCTTAGGAACCAGCCTTGGAAAGTATTGAATGGCTCATGATTTATCAGGAATGATATATTTACCCCCTTGGCATAAATTATACCCTAAATAATATACTTTATTCTTACAAAATACTTAAATTTAGGGGTGGGGGGATTTTCAAGTCCTTTCTGAGCTAAAACAGTAAGTAGATAAATGGAGAAAGCAAAAACGTGTCTACATATTATACAAGTGTAGAGTTATAGGGAAATTTAAGGTCCCTAAGTTCCTCAGTAACCCCCTGCGGTATAACTGTCCAGGTAAATTGTTGACTTTGCCAAGACAAAATAACAGGTGAAACTGTCTTGTTCTAAAGGGACACCGTAGAAAGCAGTACACACACACACGCACACACACACACACACCCCTATATAATAAAATATGTAGAGTCAGGTGGTGCTGAAGATAAAGTAGTATTTGGGCTCAGTACTACAATGAATTGGGGAAATAGTTATTTTATTTATGGTGTTAAGGTCTTGAACAAATCTTCACCCACTGGGTTTCTTAACTGGGGAACAAGAGTTTAAAGACTGGTGTGGGTATAATTCATCTTTTCTTTGTTAGGCTTTTGGACCATTGGCTTTAGTTCTTCTTAGTTTCTGATTTTAAATCTATTATATAAAATTAGGTAGAGGTTTAGATGGACCAGTCTGAACTTTGCTGTCAATATCAGTAAGACATTTTGCCCACAGAGAGTGCCACTTCATGTAGATCTCTAATTTGGCTTTATCATTGATGAAGGTACCTAAGCCAATATCTAAATTAGCTGTGATCTGATTGTGAATAGAAAAATTCTCAGGGTTCTTAAAAAAAAATCAGGAATTTATACCCAAGGAGACAAAGGACCTCTTCTCCAAAAACTGTAAGACGCTGATGAAAGAAATTGAAGATGACATAAACAGATGGAAAGATATACTGTGTTCTTAGATTGGAAGAATCAATATTGTCAAAATGGCCATAGTACCCAAGGCAATATAGATTCAGTGAAGTCCCTATGAAATTACCAATGACATTTTTCACAGAGCTGGAACAAAAAAAATGTTAAATTGTAAGGAAACACAAAAGACCCTGAATAGCCAAACCAGTCTTGAAAAAGGAGAAAGGAGCTGGGGGAGTCATGCTTCCTGACTTCAGACTATACTACAAAGCTACAATAATCAAAACAAGTATCGTACAGGCACAAAAACAGACATGTAGATCAATGAAACAGAATGGAAAGTCCAGAAATAAACCCACACACTTATGATCAATTAATCTATGAAAAAGGAGGCAAGCATATACAATGGAGAAAAGAGTCTCTTCAACAAGTGGTGCTGGGAAAACTGGATAGCTACCTGTAAAAGACTGAAATTAGAACATTCTCAAACATCATATACAAAAATAAACTCAAAATGGATTAAAGACCTAAATATAAGACCAGATACTATAAAACTCCTGGAGGAAAACATAGGCAGAACACTCTTTGACATAAATCACAGCAATATTTTTTTCAAACCAGCTCCTGCAATAATGGAAATAAAAGCAAAAATAAACAAATGGGATCTAATTAAATTTAAAAAGCTTTTGCACAGCTAAGGATACCATCAACAAAATGAAAAGACTACCCACAGAATGGGAGAAAATATTTGCAAATGATCTGACCGCCAAGGGAGTAATTTCCAAAATATACAAACAGCTCATACAGCTTAATATCAAAACAAACAAAAAACAAAAACAAAAACAAAAAAAACAAGCAACCCAATCAAAAAATAGGCAGAAGACCTAAATAGACATCTCTCCAAAGAAGACATCCAGATGGCCAACAAGCCCATGAATAGATGCTGAACATCACTAATTGTTAGAGAAATGCAAATCAAAACTACAATGAGCTATCACCTCACACCAGTCAGAATGGCCATCATTCAAAAGTCCACAGATGATAAATGCTGGAGAGGATGTGGAGAAAAAGGAACCCTCCTACACTGTTGGTGGGAATGTAAATTGGTGCAGCCACTATGGAAGATAGTATGGAGATTCATCAAAAAACTGAAAATAGATTTATTATATGATTCAGCAATCTCACTCCTGGGCATGTATCCAAAGGAAAATATAATTCGAAGAAACACATACGCCCCAATGTTCACAGCAGCACTGTTTACAATAACCAAGACATAGAAACAACTCAAATGTCCTTCGACAGATGTTTAGATAAAGAAGTTGTGGTATATATACAATTGAATAGTACTCAGCCATAAAAAAGAATAAGATAATGCCATTTGTAGCAACATGGATGGACTTGGAGTCTAAGTGAAATCAGAAAGAGAAGGAAAATGCCATATGATATCGCTTATATGTGGAATCTAAAAAAAAAGGACACAAATGAACTTATCTACAAAACAGAAACAGACTCACAGACATAGAGAACAAACTTATGGTTTCCAGTGGGTAAAGGGATAAAATGGGAATTAGAAATTTGCACCTCTTGGGGAGTGATGGAAATGTCAGCTATCTTGATTAAGGTGGTGGTTCATTGGTGTATACATCTATCAGAATTCATCGAATAGTACATCTGAAATATGTGTAATTTACTGTACAGGAATCACACCACAATAAAAGTGTTAAAAATTTTTTTTAAATAAGGAATTTGATTTTGCAGTTCTATAGATTCCCTTCTCTTAAGTTGATGGGTGTGGTCATAAAGGAGAAAATATTCCTCACTGGAGAATCCAAGGATAACAGTTACAGGCTGAAATGGGGCATGTATCTTTTGATTACTAGAGATACACACTATTTGAGTAGCTCATTGACTCTGAGGGAGAGGTTGTGTGATGCTGCCAGAGTTTATGGTATGAATAAAAAATTTTAAAGTTTCTTTTAATATGTAGTGAAATTTCTCTTTGTAAGTTTGAGGAATAAATGAGAAGTTGGGTGCATGATTTCCCTTGGGGGAGTGTCATTGATTTGCCCACTTGATATTTTTCCCCTTCATTTTCTTAACTAATTCAGGATGTTTTTTTCCCCAGTGTCTTTTCTGCTTATATTAAGTATCTATAGGTATCTTTACAAGAGACTCACTCCTCTAGTGCTTGATGACTGGAGTGGGAGTATTATATTGTTTTAACTATAGGGCCATCAGTTTATTCTTCTTTTGTTCTAAGGCTTTTTGAACTGGAACTGGAGCTTTTTGAAGATCTGGATTTGGAGATCTGATAATGGGGCTATTTCCTATTCCAGTTTTTGTTGCATATTTGATCTCCTGTTTCTGGATGTAAGGCTGTTCACAAAAAGTGGGGCAAGAGCTGGAAATCACATCTACTTCAAATCTACTCCTCAAAAAACCTATCCCTGAAGTCTCCTATAAATTTATTCTTTTGTTGTTTGCAGGATATTAGAGTCTAATACATTTTCACAGGAAAAACTTTGGGCAGTAGCCTCTGAAAGATTTTGTCCAACATCTATAGCTTTTCTAAGTATCTGTTTTCCTATGCAGTTTGAGATTTCCTAAGTCATTCTTGGGATCTCACTTTTCCTTTTGCTTTTCCTTTTTTTTTTTACTTCTGAGAATATGAACCAACTGATACAGACTTGGGAACTGGCAGTATTATTTTATTTAATTAGCCATGGGAATTGAAATATTTAAAGTAATTGCTAACTTCAGGAAGAATACAAAGTTGTATGAGAATAGAAACATCATCATGGTATACTGTATGGGGCTCAGCACTGAATAAAAATTGCATAGTTAAAGAGTGTAAATATGGACTGTTGATTTAAGCCACAATTTTTATATAACTGTTGGAAGAATGGAGGGAGGAGATGTAGGATAATGGTTGTACAAGGAAGCTGAACTCCCAACTATCATAATAGGAGGTCAGTAGATAAATTTTTTAAATTGATAAATCAACATATATTTAGAAACATGGAGTAAAATTACAGAAACATTTGAAAGTGGTTGCCATATGTAGATGTAATTTTTTAAGTTATGAGAATTATTTGATAAAAATAGAAGAAAAAATTTGTCTTGAATCTAAAGGACAGGACATACAACTTCTACCCAAAAAAGTGGAAGGGAGGGAAGAAATGGAATCATATATGTGGATTTATTTTTTTAATGCCCTATGCTAGTTTTGATTTTGTAAAAAATTATTTCAGTGAATTTACAGAATTATATGTTGCCATGTAAACATTTGTGCTTAGACAATAAAATTGATTTCTTTGGAAACTCTAAGACCTTAGTGTGCTTGTATACTAGGACTGTTAATTTTGATAACTTTTGCTGAAACATATTTTCTTGAAGAAGACTTTGGAGTAAGCTATGTTCAGAATTAAAAAAAATTTTAAAGCAATGTTTTATCATGGAGAAGCAACTGGAAGCAACATTATTGTGTACTGAGTCCATGACAGTTAAAACATCATAAAATTGGCTTAAGTTACATTTCAAGAGCATAAGATATGTGTAATTAATATGTTTAACATTTATTTAAATTGTGAACTCAATTAAAATTTAAAACCGAAAGAGGTGGTAGAATTTATGTTTTAACTTTTCATAATTTTTAAAATAGGAAACTCTTCAGAATCAAAAGGAAACATTAGCAAAGCAACACAAAGAAGCAATGGCAGTTTTTAAAAAGCAGGTAATTTCAAAAATTTCAGACAAACCCTATAGTTTTAAATATTGCACTTTGCTCACTTCCCATGAATATTATGACAAATTGTTCTCCCTACTCAATGAAGACAAAAAAAGATATTATTGGAAGCAGAAAATGAATAAAGTTGTTTTGAATCACAACTGATAATAAAGAGTGTAATGTAGCAGAATGATTTAGTTAAGGAGAGAAATTGGGAAAACTGTTTTCTTGGAGATATGTTTTCATTTGTCCTAAGTAAAATATGTTAGTGATAAGTGTTCTTGCTCTTTCTCTCCCTTCTCCCCTCTCTTTAATTAGTGTATCCTAGGATCTTAATTTTTTCCGCATTACTTTTTACCCAAGCCAGAATTACAATGCTGATAAAAAGCTGAGATGCAAGTAAGGAGATGTAAAGGATGAAGCGATGTGATTATCATGCACCTCCATAAATATTAACCATCAGCAACTAAGAAAGACCAGTAGAAAAATAGAAAAAAATAAAAGAAAAATGTTTTAAAGAAATGAATATCAACTCTTTGGTTATTTTGAATTCTTTACTACCTCAAATTTCTCTAAAATGTAAGTGTAAGAAATGTGCTTATGGAAACTATACTCTGGAAGTGTTTTTCCTTATAGTCATGCCAGCATCACCATTTTTCTTCCTTTTTCCTCCCCTCTGTTTAGTTTTCATCTCCATACAAGTGTGTATGTTTAGAAAGGAATGCGTAAAAAGAGATAAACCTATATGACTTAAATCACTAGTGGATTAAGGTTATTGGCGATTTACACTGTATTTTGGATTTGTATAAGCAGGTGATAACTTCTTCCTGTAGTCTAAAACTGACTTTACCTCGGTTATGGGAGTTTTAATTGAAGGGTAAAGAAGCAGAAGCTAAATGTACAGCATAGTATTCTTTAGGAGAGAGCAATTCTGTGTCTCTATTACCGCAAGGGACTCTGGGCAAGATAAGAACATCCAGGTATCTGAAGGAGAGAGGAGAAAGTGCTGTTGGCTTCTTCCCCCCAGCTTTTTTTTTTTTTTAATATGTTGTTTGTTTCTTCTTTTCTTTAAAAAAAGTAATGTAAAATTACTCACTTGAATGTAAGTGAGTAATATTGAAAATGAAATGGAGAAATTCCATAGAAAAAGTATTTCTTGACACCTTTGCCTTGTATCCTTATGTTACTTGGAATATTTAACTAGCTTCCTTTGGCAAGTTCACTTTAGTTTTTCTGTTTTAAAATGTCTTTGTGTAGTAGACTGCCACATGCATTTTTATAAAATGTCAGAAAATACTGTCAGTGCAAATATAAATGATATCAATTTCATAAAAGTATGCCTTCAGAAAATGTTGCATGTTATTATTTATGAGTAGATGGCAAAATATTGAAACATTTAAGGAAAAAAACTGGGAGGGAAAGACTAAATCTTCAAGGATGACTGCTGCTCTTATCATGTGACTGAATTGTTCATTTCCTTTGGTGACTGGTGTTTTTTCCCCTTTTTTATCTTTTATTATTTATTTTCTCAATGGAAAAATAGCATAATCACACTGTATTAAGTGCAAACAGTATAGACATGTAGAACATTTCTATAGTCTCGCTAACTGGTGTAAATCACTGGTAGCATTTTACTTACCTATTTTTTAATTTTTAAAATTCTTTATCAGTTCCAAGTGAAGATGTGTGCCTTGGAAGAAGAAAAGGTATGTATTAATTTTTTTAACGATTTCTAGCATAGTTAAATAATTTAATTATCGATTGTAATGATAAATAATAAACAAATGGAGGCTGTTAATTTCTTCAAATCTTAGAAACAGAAAGGGCATGAGATAATCATGTTACTGGAGCTCTTATTATTTTTACAGTTGAGAATACTGAGGCCTAGTAAGATTTAAATGACTTGCTGAAGCTGAAGCTCTCACTTTGAAGTGGTAAAGTTGGGACTGGAACCCAGATCTCTTCAACCCTAAAATTCATGCTCTTTCTACTTTACTACAATGTTTCTATTAAGTATAGTATATTTTTAGTGTCTTTTCAATGAAATTACCTTCTTTAAAAAACAATAAGATGATTTGTACCTGCATGCCGACGAACTGGAAAAGAATACATAAATGAACAATTTTAGAACTTCATCTGGTATTGAATATTTTCTGTATCTATTTAATAGTTAATACATGTTTTTATTATGTCAAAGGACATGCCATTTATAATATTGATCATTTATAGTTATTTTTGGCAAAATACTTTGTTTTAAAATTTTTTTCATACTCATATTTATAAGACAAATGTACTTGTGTCTCAATTAGAATATATTTATTTTAGCTATATGAATTAAATAATTATATAGTATCTGTAAGTTCTCAGGAATGCTCTACTGATAAAATGATTTATTGTTACAATGAGATTTTCCTTTTCATGGTATTTGTACTCTTACATAGACCTTACTGTAATATTATGATATTTTGAAATCATTAGAAATGTAAGTTGTAGTACAGATACAAGTTTAAAGTCTATAAAGTATTAGGTTTAGAGATTTTGGTTTTTCAGCTCTTAAGTTTTCCCCATAAATAATGTCATTTACTTTTGTGAAGTCCTGAAATATATTTTTTACTTAAAGGGAAAATATCAACTTGCTACAGAAATAAAAGAGAAAGAAATAGAAGGATTGAAGGAAACATTAAAGGCATTACAGGTAAAGTAACTTAGTATTGCTTGAAAAGTAATTTGGTATTTTAGCATTATGTCAGTAAAACACCATTAACATGTAATCTAGCAAAGTGAAGCTGACAAAAATTCATATATCATATATTACATGATTTAGTACTTTTTCCTGAGAGCCTTGAATTTCAAATTAGTAGGATTTTTGTTTCATCTTTTATTTTAAAAGGAAATATTAAAATGACGAAGTTGGGCAGTGCTCTAGAGGTATTGATAAAATAGAGCTGTGAATAATGGTTCAGAAAGAATAAAATGCAGGGATATTAATATTTGAAAAACAGTGACCTGAAAGAATTTGGTAAATTTGCTCTATGTGTATCAATTTTAATGGTTCATGGCAGCTGTATCAGTGAGGGTTCACCAGTGAAACAGAATCAATAGTATGTATAAATATATATATAGAGAGAGAGAGAAGGAGGGAGAGAGAGAGAGGGAGGGAGGGAAAGAGGTAGGGAGGAAGAGAAATGCAGGATATATATATATATATATATATATTTATCTATCTATTGTGAGGAGTTGGCTCACACAGTCACACAATTGTGGAGGCAGAGAACTGCCATGATCTGCTGTCTGCAAGCTGCAGACTTGGAAAGGTGGAGATTTAATTCCAGTCTGAGTCTCAAGGTCTAAGAAACAGGAGAATCCATGGTGCAAATCTCAGTCCAAGGGCAGATGAAGATCAGTGTTTAGCTCAGTCAGGCAGACAGGTAGAAAATAGGGTGAATTCATCCTGCTTCTCTGCCTTTTGTTCTACTCAGGTCCTCAACAGATTATATGAGGCCCACCCACATTATGGAAGGTAATCTGCTTTACTGAGTCCACTGCTTCAGATGCTGATCTCACCTAGAAAAGCCCTCACAGACACACAGAAATAATATTGAATCTGGGCACCGCTGGCCCAGGTTGACATGTTAACCATCACGGTAGCAGATAATAAATTCAGGATTAGATTGAAAGTCTTCTAAATTTTGTCTCTTTTTTTCCCCTTATTTTTCTAGATGACCTCTATCCTTTTACTTTTTTTTTTCTCTCTGTATGTCTTAAAAAATCCTCTGATCTCATCCAGTCTCATTTCTTTAAAATGGGATCTACATGTAGAGAGCTTCCAAATGTGTATCCCCAGCCCCAAATCCAGCCTGCGTTGACCGTCAGGTGTCTTAACAGTCTTCTCAGATTTGACCTGTTCAAAACCAAGTTCCTAAAATCTCTGCCTCCTGAAAACTAACTTACCTTTTCTTTTTTTGTTAATTACAGCTCCCTTCTTCCTATTGCAAAATTTTTTCAGCTTTTCCCTCAGAGTATGTCCGGAATCCGACCACTTCTTACTACATCCATTACTAACACCAGTTCTCTTTCATCATCCTCTTTCATCTGAATCGCAGTAGTTTATTAAGTGTTTTTCCTGTTCTCCTTCAGTGTTAACATAATAGAGTGATCCTTTTAAAAAGGAAGTCAGGCTATGCCACGTTTGTGCTTGGAACTCTTCAGTGGCTTCCTGTTTTATTCAGTGTTAAGTCTTTATCATACACTACAAGACCTACAATGATTTGGCCCTCCCCTACCTCTTTCTCCTGCTCTTCTCTGAACTCAATTTGTGCTTCTCCTTGCTTACTAAACCCTTCCAGCCACATTGGCTTCCTTGCTGTTCTTTGAACACCCCAGACATTTTCCCACCTTACAGCTCTGAGCCTGCTGGAATACTCTTCCTTACTTTCTATCAAATCTTTACTCAGAAGTTGCTGTCTCAGAAAGGACTTTCCTGGTCATCCTATGTAATCCCTTTCCATGATTTATTTTTCTTTAAGCACTTATCAATATCGAATAGACTACTTTAACTTATTTATATTGCTTATTATTTACATTCCCCAGAATTTAAGCTGTACAGAAGTTTTTGGTCCAATACTGTATCCCCAATGTCTACATCGGTGCTTTACTTACAGTAAGCATTCGGCATTTTTGTTGAAGAAATGAATCACACAGAACCCATTCAACCAAAATGAAATAAAATTATCAGCTTGTTCAAGGCAGTATGCTAAAAAATTTTCATAGGAAATGTGAAGTAATTACTGAATTTTTGCTTAAATTTTAACCAATATTTGATGGGTTTAAGCAAATTTGCACTCATACATGGCTAGTTAGAGTTTAGCTTGGGCCACCATTCTGGAGGTCTATGTGTATAATAAGAAGTGTTAAAAGTCTATAAAAATGAACAAATCTTAGGAGTTCTGCTTCTTGGAATTTATCCTGCTAAGATGAGTAACTTCTTGGTACAGCGTGTTTATTTCAGAATACTTCCGTAAAACTGAAAACTGGGTATATCTATAAAAATGAGAGTCATTTGATAAACTGTGGTATAAAGTTAAACAGTGGAATACTCTGTAGCCATTAAAAACTTGCATTGTGGATTAATTTGTAATAGAAAAGTATTTGCTATATATTAAGTGAAAATAGTTTACAAAATAGTACATATATTATTATTCTACCCCTACTGGCTCTCTTTTAAAGTATAAATCCATAGAAAACTATCTGAAAGTACCACTGTATTAATGATTGTTATTTCTGCATTGTGAGATGATTTGTTTGAAACAGTGTTTTTCCTCTGTGCTTTTCTATTTTATCAAATTTTCTTCAATGAAGAAATTAAGTAGCAATTAAGTAGCAAATTCTCCTCGAGTGCTCTTGGTATTCCTCTTGCTTTATTTGTCTTGATAGTAGTTGTCACTCTCTAACTTCTGTACATTTACTTATATTTTATTGTATGTCTGCCACCACTGCCGTTAGACAGAAGGCTTGTTAAGGCAGGGACTTTGTTTTGTTTACTGTTGTATCCCAGGATCCTAGGAAAGTGGCTGGCATATAGTAGGTGCTCCGTAAACATGTGTTGAATAAGTAAATGAATATATTATTTTTGATAAGGAAGAGTTAATGGTAAATAACATTTTGAAAAATATGTTACTGGAAAAAATATTGCATAGAAGATAAATGCCACTTTTTATAATCTGCAATTTTAATATCAGGAGGAATTTGTAGGAAATAACTGAAGAATTTTAATGAGATTTTTCCCCTTGTTTTTTCAAGGTTTCTAAATATTCTTTACAGAAGAAAGTAAGTGAAATGGTAAGGAGATTTCAAAATACACACCTAACCACCCCAGATTAGTACATAATGTGCACAGTATTTTTGGCAATATTAATGTGACATTTATAGTAAAAAAAATTGAAACTGGATATTAATACCCCCTTTAAAGGGCTGAATTACAATTTCAGACATAGCTTAAATGAACTTGCTTCACAAATTTATTTCTAGCTTACATAGTGTTTATATATTATAAAATAAATTTAACACAGTTCCCAATTATTGGTAGAAGTCTTACACCAAAATCAAACCACAAAGGAGTAAAAATAAAACTCTGAAAACTCTTACTTTAATGATGTCTTTTCTAGGTGTTTATGTAAACATTTAGTTGTTACTTATAGCCTAAAAAATTGAAGAAATATGAAGTAGCATTTGAATACCACACTGGGGATGTGGTTCTCCTCCTTTACTGTTCAGCACGTGTTTATTTGTTGTGCATCCTTCTTTCTATGGTATATTACAATTAATATCTTCATTTTTACAGCATAACATTTTATGAAATGTTTAGTTTGATATCTCTCTTTATATCCCTGTTTGATTCAGAATTCTTTTTCTCTGTATTTTTGATTGAACAAAATTCTCCCATATCCACTGTGTATCTTCAGAGGGCTTCTTGGGTGGGTTTACACTAGTTCATCCTTCCTTCTTTGGAACAGACTGTAAGGCCGGTAAAATTAATTTTTGAGTAAGGTTTATATATATATATTTTATATCTATGAGAAGTAGGGAATGAAAGATCACTCCTTATGACATTAAATACATAAATATAAAGTAAGTATTTTGCCTCGTGAATTGTTTTGGTGTGTTAGAAAATAAAAGAGCCATGGAAAGATTGCTAAGCTTGATTGAATAAAAGATGTGAAAATTCTTTTGCTGTTCAACTGGAAAGACTAAAGATAACATTATCAGACTACTTTAAACTATGATTTTAATTAAGGAGCTGAAAAACTAGATTCTGGTTTAGCTGTAAGTACCATGGCATTTGTACTGAAAGTCATCTTCAACGCTACAGTGGTTTTACACAAAATATAGTGAAATTGAATAATGTACCCTTTGACCTGGGAGATAAGGCTACAAGTTAAAGATCAAAGGCAACATAAAAATGTGTTATTTTATTCCACTTTAAAACTTCATCAAATAGATACTTATAATTTAAAAAAATGGAAACATGCAGTATACTAATGATAATTTTTGGTCACTTTTGAGCATTTTGTTACTGTGAATTAAGTGTCTTAAGAACCTACTGAAATGATTTTTGAGTTATATTTTTTCTGACAGTTCAAAGCATTAAATAAATCACTTTGTATTAAAATAATGTTATATATTGGTATGTACATAATATTTTATGCCCATTCTGGCAGCATATTATAATGTATTTTAGATGATTGGTATAAAAGTTTAAAATAATCTTTTTTCTAAACATTTTTATATATTTTTTTGCATTACTCTTATATAAGTCAGGTGACCTTTTCTGTATTCAAAAGTACTATGCAGTATTAAGTAATTCAGTTAATTTTATTCAAATCAGCACATTCTTCTTTTACATTATTTGACTCTGTGTGCAGGACAGGAACAAGACTTGTGTCAAAGCAGGAGCAATTGATAAAGTGTCCCAAAAGAAATAATTTAAAAAATAGTACTAAGACATTTTAAAAGAAGTTCATGATCTCCTATAGGCAAGATCTTAACCACTAGAAAATTTCTGTCTTGTGGAAATTCAGTAAGGTGATTTTCATGTAGAGGTGGTAGAATGTCTCTAGATAAATTAATACAATTATGAATGGAAAGATTGAGCTATCTCTAAAAGTACCCAGACCTTCTCTTGAACAAATGATTACACTGATCATTACCAATAAAAAGAGTGTAACAAAATATTAAAAAAACTTTAGAACATTAAATTAACTGATTTGGTCATTGACGAAAATCTTTCCTGTTGTTTTCTGATGATTATAGGTGACTGTGTTGTGTGACTGAGTAGAGCTAACAGAGCTTAATGAACAAAGTAAAAACTTATCCAACCATCTCTTAGTTATATTTTATTTCATTTTTGTATATCACTTTCCTCTAAAGAAAAAACTTGTAACAAGGATTTATTTTTCTTTTCTCTTCTTTTTCTTTTTAAAAAATTTTTCTTTATTAAATTAAAACGAAGTTTCAGTATTGAAAGCTTTGATCAGATTTGGAATTACTTCATATTTTCTTTCAGAGTAGAATATTTTTAGACTGAAGGCTTGTCTGGGAATAATCTTCATGATTATAAATATTATGTGCATCTGTACATACAAAGTATATGTAACTTTAGTTTTTTTAAGTAGTGTATATCTTATATTGTGACTAAAAAAGTGAAAGTATCTTAAGAAAGATGCCATAGGTTTTTTAGAAAGTGAGTTCTATAACCCATTGATTTATTTTGCGTTCATGTCACAGAACTTGAAAGGCAAATTGCAAAAATAGAAATGAAAAACATATGAAGCTTGTTTTTGTGTTTTGATCTTTTTCTCTAAAATTTACTTGTAATGAACAAATTGTTTTAAAGGAAATTAATTTTATCTCCAAAAGTTTTCAAATCAGTCTCTTTAAGGAAATAAGAAAGGGGGGAAATGAGCAGTTATGCCTTTTATTAGTAAATATAACTCTAAAAAGTTGTGTGTAAATGTTATTTTTAAATTATTTGTATTTTAAATGCCTCAAGAGGCTTTTAAGTAAACTTTTAGACCCACCCCCCACACACTTATAATTATGCGTATGCTGTCTTCCTCTAATCTTGATTTTCAAAGATTAAGTTTGTTTAAAGTGAGGTACATATATATGTGGAAAGCAATGAATCCTGACATTATTTGCTTGTGGACAGAGTCTTTGCATTTAGTAGTAAAATTGTGTAAAAGATAGAATAGCTTAAACCAATCCACAGAGGTAAAAAGAATAAAAACACTATATACTTAGCTATTTCTTACTCATTTCAATGAAATAATCTTTATTATGGTTTGGTTTGTAATGTTAAAGTTATGATAACACCATCGATTTATTTGTATTATTCTTTATAATGTTCTTAGGTTTCTCAGGCAGGTGTTACCAATCTGCTTTTTGTTGTTGCTTCCCAAAGAATTTAAACTATTTGCTGACAGTTATGCAATTAATGGCAAACTTGACAACGGCCCTCTTCATCTCATTGTCAAAACTAAATCAGGGCAGCCAACTAGGTTCATATATAAACAGTCCTGTATAGGCCTGTATGAGCTAATGAGCTATAGGTGCCCATGTGATTTAAACATCTTTATAGCATTTATCATGGCCACTGAATAGGCTAATGTATTTGAAAATCGAAATTGTGGTATGCAAACAAATGAAACTGCATTTTAATTGAATTCAACTTTGGCTTCTAGTAAAGGATGTTGGAATAGAGTATTCACAAACTACTCCAGTGTGTATAGAGCTCTATGTAGAGAATACCTATGAACTCACTTTGGTCTTTGCTGCATTTTCAGTTATCAGGATAAGTTAACCTTTGTAAGCATTGACAATATTAATATGTATTAGTATGTAGTAGACAATTTTCTTATAAAGGCTGTATAAAAATTGATTTGAATTGAAAAATGGAAAGAATTCCTTGAATTGAAAAAAATATCTTTGGACCAATTTTCAGTGAAATTGTATTAGATTTCTACACATCTGCTGAAAGGAATTAATTCTCTAGATTAGACAATTAAGTGGTATTTTAGAGGAACAGAATATGGGTCTTTGTTGTTCATTGTTTAGTTACTGATAATAGTGACTATGCAGGTAGGCATAAGATCTCAGGGAATAAGTATATTTGTCAACTTGTTTGAATTTATAACTGCTGCACACAATGCAAATGGCTAAGTGGTGAATTTGAAAAACCTATAGAAAGCACAGGAGAAAGTTTCGACTGACCTTTCGTAACTGTTGCCAATGAAATTACCATTTTGCTTAAAATCATTAAAAAAATCTTTGAAAAAGTGAAGATTATCACCAGATTTGCCTAGTTAATACAACTTAAATTGTAATGTGTGTTCCTTATTAATACTAAAGAGGGCTATTCTTGTTCCAGATGAAAATTAAGCTATTGAAGGCGCTTTTATCATTTAAGGAATAATAATAACGAAACATTATATTGTACTTATTATGTGACTGGTTCTGTTCCTAGTGCTCTATGTGTATTAATTCATCTTATCCTCGCAACAACCCTATGAGGGAGATACTGTTATAATCTCTGTTTTAAAGGCAGGGTAGATAATTTCCCCAAGGTCACAAAGCAATTAAATTACAGAGGCAAGATTTAAACATAGGCAGACTAGCTTTTGACCACTTTACTATACCGCCTGTACTTTGGTGTTAAGCAGTACAAAATGGCTCTGGTTAACTTACGCAAAAGGAAATGTAGTGAAGGCGCTCACAATCAATTAGAGAGTCGATGGTTTTGAAAGTGAACAGGGACCAGGGAAATTCCAGGGTCTGTGTAGCAGAATAGGAACCCAGGACAGAGGTCTCATATCAGTCTAGATAGGATCACCACTGAACTTTCTTGGTTTTATAGTCTCTTCTACTCAAGATTCAAATTCTAAGAAAGTAGAAATCAGTTGGTTTATTTTGGGTAATATGCCCTACAGTTAACTAGGGAAGAGTAGGACCCCTGAATTTTAGTCTTACTAGATTGTAGTGAAGAAGTATTTCAAGTAAGTACTTGAAATTGTGTTACTGTTGGGTAAAGGAAATAGAAGCTGGCCAGGAAAATCTAATAGATTACCACTGTTGGAACTCTATGGACAACAACAATTCATTCAGAAAATAATTACTCTGTACCAGTTGATGGGCCTACACTTCTTTATTACCTCTCAGTAGAAACTGAAGCATGTGGCAGAAATGAATGAAAGTTGTGAAACCAACCAGTGATTCTGCTAATGCCAAGTCAAGATCAAAACCTTTGAAAAATATTACTGATTCTGTTAACATAATTATTTCTTTTAAAAAACGTAAGTCATTTTTCTAAGTATGGTAAAACAAGTTCCTTTAGCTGTAAAGTGAAGGCTGATATTATATTATATATAGGGTCCAGTTTTTACCAATTTTCTCTCCCAGCTAAAGGAAACTTTTTACTATACTATATTGCCTCCCTGTCACTGATAGATACTGTTCTCATGATTCCATTTTTTAATGCAGTGAGGAGGTACTATATTCATTAAAATTAATCTCAGAAAAATTACCCAAGTTTTGATAATGTACAATATAATTATGCCAGCAAATTTAGAGGGAAAATGTATTTCCCAAATTATCAAGAGTATTGCTTTAATAATATTCCTCCCACTTTGCTTAGTGCTGGACTGAACTAGTTAACTTTCCTGTGAATAACCAGTTGACTTTGAAAAAGAAATTTTAAACAAGGGAAATACAACCTTAAGTGACTGTTTTGTTATAGGGGGAAAATGCTTTAATTTTACCTAGACTTAGATATGTGTCCTAAAAAACATTTCCTGTGTGCGGTGTACTCAGTACTTTTTCATGACATATTTATGCTAACAACAACAGATATTAAAAAATAATAATTTTTATATACAATTAGTAAATATGTGTATTATGTTTGTATATTTTATATATGTATAACATTTAAAATAACTCTTCAAAATAGGAGCAAAAACTCCAGTTACATCTTCTGGCTAAAGAAGATCATCAGAAGCAACTGAATGAAGTTGAGAAATACTATGCCACAATAACAGGTCAATTTGGATTGGTAAAAGAGAGTCATGAAAAGTTAGAACAAAATGGTAGGTGCTTTCTTATTTAAACTTATATATTTAATAGGAAATATTTAAATGGACTTATTTATAATGAATAAGTTGAACTTAGCCTGATACTGGCAATAGTAAATGGCAGTTAATTAATATTAAACTCAGTAATAATTATATACATTGCATTGAAGCTATTTTCCTCATCCATGTTAATATTTCCTTAAAATGTTCATTGAATACAATATTTTACTAAGTGTCTTTCATGTTGCAGTACAGGAAGCAATACAGGTAAACAAAAGACTTTCAGCTTTCAATAAAAAGCAAGAATCTGAAATACGCAGTTTAAAGAAGGTATGATTGGTTATTGCATTATATAAAATTAGTCTAAAATATTTTATGAAATAATACTAGAAAAGTTGGGTAGTTTTTTTGTATAAAGATAAATAAAATGTTTTAAATACAGCTTCATAAACTTTGAGTTATGATTTTGATAAAGCAATGAATGAATTTGTTCTAACCCATTCAAAATGTTATTTCTTTGACTTGTGACCAGTGACATGCATTTTTATGTTGTCATGAATAGCTGATAAGCATTCACTATATGTTAATCTCATTAGCGCCACTGATACAAGAGGAGAGTGGTATGAGAGGAAGGAGAAGCAGGCAAGTCCTGTTCTGTTTCCTTTGCCTAATCTTTCAAAGCCCCAACCGAAATAATACCACTTTGGACCACCTCTTTATACCTGAGAGAATTAAGTGTCTATCCTTACTGACACTCAACAGATGCTTTGAAACAACATTTACTGAGTGTCATTGAAATATTTATTAATTAAATTACACTTACTTTGTAATTATTTAATTTACTGGTGTGCAAAATATCTTACATTTGTCCCTCCAGACCCAGACTTACCCTTCTCTTCTGTAAGGCTTGCCTATATGGATTGCATCAGTGCTCCCGTATCTTCTGACTTACTGTTGACTGCACATTTGTAGTTAGCACTATCAGTCAAATTCTCTTGATTTTTGCTTGTCTGAAAAAGTCTTCATTTCTCCTTCACTTTTGAAGGATAATTTCAGAAGATACAAAATTTTAGGTTGAGGATTTTTTTCTTTCAATACTTTAAATATTTCACCTCACTACTTTTTGCTTGGATGGTTTCTGTGAAGTCAGATATAATTCTTATCTTTGCTTCTCTATAGGTAAGATTTTTTTCTCCTCTGGCTTCTTTCAAGATATTAAATTTATCTTTGATTTTCTGAAGTTTGAATAAGAGATGGCTGGATATGATTTTTTTGGTCACTTTTTCCTCTTGGTGTTCTCTGAGCTTCTTGGGTTGAGGTTTGGTGTCACATTAACTTGGGGAAAGTCTCAGTCATCACTGCTTCAAATATTGCTGCTTTTCCTTTTTTTCTGCTCCTTCTGGTACTCCCATTATGCATATGCTACATACTAGCATATGCTACACTAGGTGACTTGCAGTTGGTGGATATTCTCTTGTGCTCTTTTTAGTTTTTTTCTATTTTTCAGTTTTGGAATTTCTACTGTCACATACATCCTCAAGCTCAGAGATGATTTCCTCAGTCTTGTCCAGTCTAACTATGAAGCTTATCAAAGGCATTCTTCATTTCGGTTGCAGTGTTTCTGATCTATAGCATTTCATTTTGACTTTTTTAGAGTTTTCATCTCTCTACTTACATTATCCATCTATTCTCCCATGTTTTGTCTGTTTTGTTAGTTTGTTTGTTTTTTGCATTAAAGCCTTTAGTATATTAAAATTCAAGGTCTGATAATCCTAATATCCCTGCCATATCTCACTCTGGTTCTGGGGCTTATTCAATCTCTTCAAACTGTGTCTTTTGCCTTTTTGGTATGCCTTTTAATTTTTTTGTTGGAAGGCAGACATGGTATGCTGGGTGAAAGGAACTATAGTAAATAGGCCTATAGTAATGTAGTGGTGGGGATGGGGGTGTCTTAGGATTAGATGAGCCTGTTACCCCTGGACTGTGAACTTCACCACACACCAGTGCTCCTCAGTCCCCGCTCCCTTCCCTGTGTGGTGCTGGATGGTTGGAGGGGGCTGGAGTTGGGTATCACCTTTCCTTCAGGTAGTTTAGGCTTTGCTCAAATAGTCTTTCCTGAGGGCAGGACTTGTTGATAAGAATAGAATGAGTTGGTATATTTCAAAATGGTTCCTTTTCCTCTCCTTTTCCTCCTGCTTCTAGCAGGAGGGAATTTTTCTGTGATATTCACTGTGAGAGGACCTGGAGGTAAAATTTTACAAAAGTGTGAGGGCCTGCATGACTTGTGTCCCTCTGAATTTTTTTTAACCGCCAGAGTTAAATTAACCACACTGGGCCTCTGAGAATTAGTCTGAGTTCAGTTTTTCCTACTCTGGCACTAGTTCCTGTGGAGGCTTTTGTTTATGATTCTCAGTATTCACCTGTCCATCTGTCTAGTTTTTGAGGCAGCAGTTTGCCTTATGACCTCATTTCTCCAGCAGATTTAAGAGGAGTTGTTGATTTTCAGCTTGTTCAGCTTTTTCCTTGTGTTAGGATGAAGTGGAAACTTCTGGCTAAGCTTCTTACATGCTGGACCAGAAACCAAAAGACCCTCTGTTTTTGCATTTAGCTATAATTTTACCAAAAAAAAATCACTAAAATAATTTATTGTTTATAGAGACACAGGCTTAAGTTTTGAAGAGAGTGTTTTGTGCTACCAGATGAATGACTTATACTTTAATGCATAATTCAAGAAAACAGGAAATTTTACCGCTTTCTCTTTTAGCACAATTTCAAGGAAAGCAGGACCACTTGGGCTAAAGAGTGATGTGACTTCTAAATGCTAAGCCACAGTTTATAAAGACCATTAATATTTATAACACTGTTATATCTAGATCTTTGTTCTTATAACTGCCAATAAATTGGTTTTATATTCCCTGGACTCTATTCTTATACCCAAGGGATCAGAAATTAAGAGCATACAGGTAGCTCAGTACAGAATATTAGAATAGTAATAAGCCTATGTCCCTAGCCCTTAAAAGTCTTACGTCTATCTGGCAAACTACCTAAGAGGACAGTTTATATGTAGAGAATGTTGCTTTTCAGTCACATTTCAGAATATTAAAGATGACTCTCTTCATATAAAGAGAAAAGACTGTAATTTGAAAATTTTGTTAGTAGTCTCAAATCAGAGAATTGTCAAATGGACTATTCATTTTTATCAGTATTAGCTTTAAAGGCAAATATAAATAACTAATACTGACTAGTTGTGAATAAGCACATTTTCAGTGATACCTGTTTGGTTTTTTTTTTGTTTAATATTTTTCTCAGTGTCTTGAGTGGTTAAATCATTAATTTGGTGATTATGTTAAAATAGTCATATGCCTTTATTCAATTAGTTTTTGCATTATTATGAAAATATTATACCTCATAAATTTCCCTACTAAATTGTTTTTTCGTTAAAGACAAATGTTTCATTGTAACATAATACACTATTGTATTTCTAATGTGTAGTTTAAGACTGACTCATAGATGGAGACGAGGCTCATGTAAATCCATGGAGAGATTCCTTTGGTGGATTTATGTGAAAAGAGTAAAAACATTCTCTGTGTATAAGTGGAGTAGTGTTGCTCATGAGCACACTTGCCCCCTTTCCCCAGGTCTTGCAGCCTTGGCCAGGGTTGCCTAAATGTACTGATATGCCATACACTGGTGGGCTCTGTCCCTCTAAAAAGCTTTGTAGTCAGTAACCACGCTGCCATATAGTTCTCGGAAGAGAGTTTATGTAGAAGGGTAAAGCAAGAGAATATTATTACCTTTGAGGCTTCCAAGTTCTAGTAGCTGAAAGGGTAAGAATTTATGAGTATATTTTAATAGACAATTTTTAATATTTCAGACATTCTGAGTATCATAGTTTTGTATTTTTTGATGTGGTCTTGATTTTTAAGTTTAAGGGAAGTTTTTTTCTGTTCTGATTTTCTTTTTCAGAGGCTAATCAAGCCTAGTAACTTTGCTTTATATCACTCATTTAAAACATTTAATCATCAATTTTCTCAAAGATAATTTTTTTCTTCTATACTGTCCTATGATTTTGTCCAGAGCAGTTAAGTTATTGGTTTATGATAAGATGGAATTCTTTTTTGTGTGCGTGGTGCAAAGCTAAACAGACTGAACTTAGTTGTTAGATAAAACTAGGTATTACAGTTCTGAGTGCTGGGTTCACCATTATGGCAATCATGAAAAATTTCCCGATACTATCTGTGAGCAGCATTCATAACCTCTGCTGTTTGTCTGAGTAAACGTCAGAGCACTCAAGGAGATAGTGATATTTAGCAGACTACCTCATACCAGAAGATGAGGGGTAAAGGAGAAAAGGGCACGATATTTATGACTCTAGGAACTATAAGTTGTAATTTAATGAGATCAAAGCATGTGCTGTTTATTTGCTGCACTAACAGCTTTGAAAAAATGGTTAGAAAACAGACAGTGTACTAAAAGTTCAGGATATTTAAAAGCTGTAAAGGTTATAAAATCAAAAGTCTGTTTTCAGTGGAAAATCATTTCATGGAGGTCTCTGATTTTAATTTAATATGCTCTTAAGATTGAGTAATTAATATGTAAGAGAAAAAGAAAGACATAAAAATGATTAGTTTTTACTTTTGTCAGCCACATACTGAGTTTTCACCCTTTCTCACCTCCTTCCCACTTCCCTGTTGTTTCATAACAATTATTATAATAGGAATTGATGAGTTTTAGAGTATCTTCTATAAAACTTAGATGATTACAACAGCTCCATGTTTTCAGTTGTTGAGGAATGTAGAAAGACATAGAAGTTTGTTGCGTTTTGTAACCTTGACAGAAGAAAAAACTTTAAGAAAACCAATCTTCCTTTATTAATTCAGAGAATTGTAAGCCACTTTATATGAATATGAATTTTAGCCATATACTTCAGTTTAAGTGTACTTTTATCAGTAGATCATTGTAGTGAACCTAGAACAGGTCACTAGTATAAAACAAGCCATCTGATAATTTACTCTCTTTTTTTTCCCTTAATGGAGGTACTGTTACTGAACTCAGGACCTCATGCACACCAAGTATGTGCTCTACTACTGAGCTATACCCCCCACCCCCCATAATTTACTTTCTAAGTTATTCACTTCATACAAGTATATCTTGCTTTAGGAAAACCCAATATTAAAAAGTTTAAAATTCAAAAAAATTATTGCAAGTTTTCTTTTCATTTTCAAGGAGCTTGAAAGCAGGGTTTTAGAATGCTGTGTGTAAAGAAATATGTACATTGTTTTAAACCTTGTATGATTGGTGTCTTTTAAAAAATCAATTTAGCATAAAAT